TAATAGTAATAATAATAAATTAAACTTTCCTGTCAGTAAAATTAATAAATTATTTGCTAAAAATTATAAAGCATTATAAACATAAAAAGTTATAAAGCTTGCTTGCATGCCATTGCTATCAGTGTAATATTCGATATCATCCGCTATCATATCAGTTGAAAATTTTGTAATTAACTCAACACCTGACATTTTTCTTATATCAACATGAAGTTGCATGTGTAAATGGCTTCCTTCTACTCCTTAAAATAGATCATATTTTAGGAAAATTGAATAAATGCAATTCCAAAATTAATAGATTATTCGTATTTGCTTATAAGAAAATTTTCCAATATTAAAATATTAGAAATTTTTGACAAATAATTAAAAACTTATTAAAAATTTGACTTAATTTTTTTTGCTTAAGGGAACAAAATTTAAGAGTTTAATTACCAGTTATATTATTAACTGACAGACGTTGCTTTATGAATTCTGATAATGTGTAAACAGTTTGACGTAATGATCCGGAAACAATAAAAGTTTCTGCATCATTCATTTCTAATTTCTAAAATATTTATTCATTTGAAATACACATTTACTAAAATGATGCCCTGCTAAGAAAGAAGTTAGCGAAGATTTGATTCTCTTAAAATTTGACAATTCTAAATGGTTGCTAATTTTTAACATTAACTTTTCTAATAACAGTGATTTTTCCACCCATTATTTAAATTAAAAGTTTCTGTGTATGAGAAAAAATTCCCATTAAAAATTTTTTATACTACAATATGCAAAATATTACAATACCGAATAAATACTATTCAGCTTACTGTAAGTTTATCATTTTCAAGTGCCATAATATATGCTCCGCTATAGGTGCTATTGTAATAACTGAATTCTTGTTCACACCGTAATCGTTCTGTACCATTTTTTGCAATATTGAAATATATCGTCTAGAAATTTTTCTCTTTCTTTTTGTAATTTCGTCACAGTTGAAATTATACAATAGGGTTCAATTAAATTATTTTTTTATTAGCTTAAGTGTTAAAAGATGCAAAACTTTTGTAAAATATTTTGAAAACCAAAAATTTTGGGAAGTTCTTGCTGAAAAAAAAAATTATTTTTAAAATTCGAAAAAGATTATAACATATTTTTATGAAATGCTTTAAATCCTAACAATTAAAAAGAGAAAAATTTGAAAAATTTTGCAGAATACCTTTAATAATCCGTTCTCAGAGTTCAATTCCACAAACATTTGCGATGTTTGAAGAATAAATTCATTTTTATTTATTGTCAAAACATGAAATTTTCTAAAAAAACAGCAAAACAATTTCAATTGTTATTTCTTTTATATTTAAATTACAAGTCTAATTTTTTCGTTTTAATTAATTTTTGAAAAATCTATCGAACCATTTTCTTATTTGTTTGCATACAAAAATAATGAACAACACTTAACGATATTAACAAAAAATTAATAAGGATAATTTTTTTTATGATTTCCAAGTTGTGAAAATTATTTAGAAGAAACCAAGAAAATGCTAATTGATGCGGAACAACCGAACCGTTACGGATAACGAAATTCGGTGAATAATTACAATTTAGTATTATCAAGTTTTTCGATGAAAAAAAAATCATTTCGTAATCATTTTGGAAATATCAAATAAAATATGTTAACATCAAGAATATATATTGGAAATAAAATAATTTCTCCATTTAATTGGTTAGTTTTCCACTAAATTTAAAATTCAAAAAGAAGACAGCAAAACTATACTTCGAAATGTTTTTTATCACCACTGGTGATTGTTGCATTGGTGTTAAAATTTGAGCAATTTCAGTTGTTGTAGAATGATTCTTTTGAATTGTAATACGAATAAATGACAAAGCATTGAGAAATGTGAAGAAAACCAGCTAAAATTGTCAAAATTTTACTAAATAAACAATTGCAAAAAAAACTTTTGACAGAGATATTTTACTAGCTTAATCAAAGTCTAATTATTAAATGCATATTATAACTGTTCTTTTTTTTTGCCGAAAATTTATTTTATCATCCAATTTGCTTGTTTGCTGTAGGCGATTGGAACGAATTTAGTTTTCGAATCGAAATGAAAAGTTTAGCTGAAAAATTACAATTTAATGCTGCAACAAGTAAAAAATTTTATTTACCAAGTAATTTTCTGTAAATTTACCATGAACTGCATCAAAATACGGTTCAATTTGAGCCTGAATAGGTCCATCTTTTCCAGTTAAAATTACATCCGGGTCCGATATTTGTAATTCGATTCTTTCCGTTTTTTCGTATGGCTCATAGTTGTATATGAGTACTGATCTATTAATTGGCTGCTTATATTTAATATATTTCACGAAAAGAATTGTCAAATCTGTTCTTAATTATTGTATAATACATAAACATGCCATGAAGTATCACGTTCAAAGATTACTGTATAACAAACAAGTTCTAAGTTCTGGTTATTATATTACTGAACATAGTAGTAGATTAATCTTTCCTAAGCATTTTGTCAAATAATAGAGAATAAATTTATAAATAATTTTTTTAATGGGACAGTATCATTTGAAGATTACTGTAGAACAAATGAGTTTTTAGCTATAACTATTACATAATTTGAAACAAAATATAAATTTTGGGAAATATTTGTAGTCTTTTCCTAGTTTATTGTCATAGAGCAGGGATGTAAAAAATAAGTTATAAACGAAGATATAAAATAAATGTTACTGAATTTTTAAATCTTGAAATTTAAGCACATCAACGTCAATAAGATATTAAAAGTTTATTAACTTAAAGACCAGTTTTAAAGTACCTTGTTCTATCCATAGTGATAATTTTTTTGCTGCTACTTTCATTATACATTAATGGAATATTGTCCTAAAAAATTTATTGAAA